TCAGGTAGCGTTAAGTTCTGATTTTCTTCGTGTCTCACAAACGCCAAGTACATCGCAAGATGTTCTATTGATCTCCTGGAGAAGATGGGTGATGTGTCCGTCCATCGATAGCGACCTACAGTTGTAGGTGCATATCGAGAGGTGAGGTCGATTTCTTTTTTTTGCTTCAATAATAATTTTGATAAAAGCCACACGTTACCATTCTGAACTGAGAAGCAGTTTGGCTTCAGTCTTTTCCGATATGGACGGATTATGGATGTTAACGTATGCATCGTATAGTAATCTGTTGCCAACGTTTTATAATGTCAACAAAATCAAGTCCATTGCGCAATGTCGAAAGTTTTGGCGAGTTGAGCCTGAGAGCATCTTTGTTCTCACACAGATGTGGAGAGTACAGTTAAACTTTGGGCCAACAGCTTCTTAGTAAACCTTTTCTGGGCAAAATTCCTTATCGCCGTCTTGTCTTAGCCGTCTAGCCAAAATATTGTTAATGGGCTGAGTAAGACTGATGACACTTTTAACAGTCCTCCATATTTTCGAATCTTGACTGACCATTCCTTCTGTATTAGAAGTAATGAAGTCCGTCACTTTTTTGATGCTGTTAGAATTCGCATCTACCCACAACCAACTGTTCTGCTATTTCTCGCTGTCATAAATTAAATGTGATGAAATTAACAACTCCAGTTGTCCTAGATTAACTATGTCCTACATGCAACAGGAAATTTCTCGCAATATTTTAAGTATTAACAGCTTCGTTAATACTTCTTGTCGCAAAAAAGAAACGAAAGTTTGTACATGTTGGAATCTCAGTCTTCCTTGCACTTTCACGATAGGGCCATTTTTATCGCCCGTCTTTTCACGAAATTAATCTTGGTACGCTGATCTTCATCTCCATGCTATCAGCCAGAAGTGTTTTAGTTTGAAGACAAAGTCGGCAGCACCTCTGTAGCAAACATAGCGTACCGTTTCTTTCCCATAGAATGGCACTTATTCATCTACATCAGAAGTAAGAAAGGCGAATGACCCTCCCAAACCTCGAACCCACGACCTCACGGTTCTCTTTCTGACGCTTTACTTCTGATCTTGTCGCAAGAAAGACAACATTTTAAGTCCTTAAAGTGTAAATCGACCATAGCCTGCACTTGTGAATGACGAGCTATCACTTAACATCTGCGTGTTTCAGACCAGCAGGGGACCGTCTCTAGTTTTAATCGTTATTCTTCAGTCTGTTTTCGTGTCTTCGTAATGTTATATTTATTTTGTCAATATTCATAAGCGACAATCTATTTGTAAATCAATAAAACAGTTCAAAGCGTATATAAAACTTGATTTGACGGGGCTTTCGGATCATGTCATTTTGAGGCACGGCTTGGAAATTTGTTACATGCTCAAGTCAAATGGTAGCCTAAATATTTTTATTCGTATCGATTTCTTTCCTGATTTTGCTTGAACATAGCCAAATGGATTTTATTGTTCATGATTTAATTATCAAAAAAGGTTGTGTACTATCCTCCAGAAATGAAGGCGAAGCAACTATGTCTTGCCAAGCGGACCGGCAGAAACCCCAGGGGACGGCCAAGATAAACTTGGTGCAAATATATTTAAGGAGTCTGCTCCAGATCCCACGTGTCTTCTACCGAAGCTCATACTCTGGCACAAGATCAGGAACGTTGGAAGCACTGTCTGACGCGTCTACATCCGCGACCCGAAAAGAGAAGCAGTCATGGAAGAAGGTCTTTTGTACTATTATACTGTAATTTCCATCGTGCGGTGCGTGTATGTAGAGCCTGTACGTAATTTGCTTTACTAACTGCGCAGTTCCACAACTTGTTTGAAAAAATCTGCTTGCATAACTCTGTAACTGCGACGCTCACGAGTTTGGGTGTATCTTTATCAGAAGTTTGATAAAGGCATCCGTTGCTCTGGGCAATTCTGGTCTAATCGAACCAGTTCTCTCGCTTTACCAGTGGTTCCGACAGTGTCTGACGAAGCAGTCAAGCACAAGGTTCATGTACACTCTGCAGGTGCCAGACTAAAGCTTACCGAAGGTCAGTTGTTCAGTTCACTCTATGGTGGATCACAAGAAAGAACTCTTACCAGCCTGATATGGATTCACCTTCACTGCTGGTTTTGTTGTTTAGTACTTGTTCATTGTTACATAAAGAGTTTTGATAACTTGTCGTGAGCCTTAGGGTTCACCTAAGTAAATTTCACCTGGTGACCATTGTGACAGTCATATCTTGCCCGCCAAAGGGAGACTACGTTTAGAGTTTCTAAACAAATTTTTAAAGCAGACAGAACGACATTCGCTTGGAAATAACGTTTTTCATTGTGAAACTTTCAGAGTGCACAAAAACAGAAATTAAGTAAAAGTCTGGTGTTCAGAGTTGTACCGAGTTACCAAAGACGACCAAATCAGGCAGGTTAATACAGGAGAGAGGAACCGGTGTTCTTCAACAGATGACCAGTGATTGCTGGCCACGGAAAACGCACCGGTTTCCTCGACATGCCGGTGGTCAACGGCTCATGTTCGCTAATAAAGTAGCGTCCAAATAATCAACGAGCAATTTTCGTACGCTGAATAAATTCGTCGATGATCAACCATCGTTTGCTGGTTTCTGATTCTTGCTCGACCAGAGGCTCTCTGATTCTAACCTTTACTTCTATGGTGCCACCAGTGTCCTTCTTATTGAGGATTAACTTAAAACATGACGCGCGAAGCTGCCTAACGAAAAACATGAAGAAAACACAATTACCTTTACGCTATCGTGGATTGCGTTTTCCTTCTCCAGTGGTAGCAACTTCAGTTCTGCAGAGCCTAGCAGCTTATCGCTACGAATCAAACTGCCCTTTTGGTATACATCAAATTTTATGCCATGACGTTTGATGTAAAACAGCAAACCTCGGGAACGAGGGACGATTCGAAGTTTCGCGGAGTGATTGAAATCTGCAACACGAAAAGTAAAACGATACTTGAAACTGTAGTCACGCAGCCTGTCATCAAAACAACAAATGAAATTATATTGAATAGATATTGTCTAACGTAATTTTGTGTATCATTTAGAGTAATCAAAAGAAACTTCACGTCAGAACAAGAATGAACAAAAACTAAAAATTTGTCTGATATAGACGGCCCTCTGTTTATGCAGATTCCATCTGCGCGGTATTAAAATAAAATGGCCTTTCTATTCAGACTTTGGTTGTATTCACGCGACCAGTGTGTGGAAGCAATGTTGTTCAAAATGCAAAAAAAAATGACTGTGACCTAAGACTGTCGCATCCCCATGTAAAAATTACTTTACATGATATCACTTTACTCAGAGGACGCATCTATCACGTAAAATGCATAAACAGTACATATGCAATAACAGTCCTGAACAAGACTGTGACGTGAAGTTTCGACTAGAACAGAGTTTCTTAATCATGGGGAAATTTTAAGATTTCAGGGGGAAATGGAGACCAAAGACTCAAACTGAAGAAATACTGATCTTTCTAAAAACTAGTTTTCACATAATATATGGGACAGACATCACACTTTATTGATGTCGCATTAAAATGAAGATAAATATTTTACTTTATGTGTGGAAATATTTCAGTTATAGCTATATTAGACTTGCTTTCTATTCACAGATTTTGAACCCCATCAACAGTGTGAAAAAAAGGTTCCGGTGATGCGTATATTCAATATGGATTCACATTCATCATCATTAGTAGAGAAGAAAGACCTCTATGTGCTATTTGTAGCAAGGCCTTTTCAAATGATTGTATGAAACCAACGAAGTTGAAGTAACCTTTGCAGAACATTCATCCTAAACATAAGGACAGAATTTTTTTTGACGTAACGGGGATTCTCTCAAGAAGTGAAGCTGAATTCAACAAAGGCATTCTAAGAAATGAACCACAAGTTACTGAGGCTTCTTTTTTCGTAATACTGGAGATAGCAAAGCAGAAGAAACCACATACACTTGGGGAAACTTCAATCAATCCTTGCGCTTTCAAAATGGTGAAAATTGTGTTAGAATTGGAACAGACTGCAGAGTAAGCTTGCAGCAGTGTCACTTTCATACCAGCACGGACCGAAGGAGAATCAGTGACATCAAGGATCAAGTTGTGCAAGAGATCGAGTTACAGAGCTGTGCAAGTCTGCAGCATTTGGCTTATTTTCAATTTAACCTCACGAATCGACTGATGTGGCATCGTATTTTTAGTTGTTGGTGACTGCAAGATATATTCGCTCGGGATTATTTAACGAGGGGTTTCTCTTTTGTTCTTCTCTTGAAACAACCATCAAGGCCTCAAATATTTTGGAAAAGGTCTCATCTTTCTTTTAATCATAAAATCTTTTACGGGATGATGTCTCTGGGAGCTGTACGTTGAACCACAAGCTATATGTTGAACAAATTGCGTGAGAAAGCGAGCTCCAATAGTGAAAATATGATCATTCGTTAGGCATTGGCCTCAAAATCACTTCCAGCTCCACTAGGGAAGGTTTTGGATCAAATAATTCAAAATGTGAATTTTGTCGAAGAAGGAGCTCTCAACTTAAGACTTTTCAAACCTTATATATTGAAATGGATGCACGCCATCATTTGCTTCTTTTCTTCATAAACGTTCGATGATTTTCAAGAGCAAATGTAACTGGCCGACTATCTAAGCTCAGAGATGAACAAGTTACTTTTTTAACTTCTGCTAAGATGGAATTTTTTAGCCTTTCTGGATGATGAAGAATGTATCATGCGCCTTGACTATTTAGTTGACATTTTTGAGCAATTGAATAAAGTGAATTTTCAGATGCAAGGAATGCAAACATCATATAATTCATTGATTTCCTGAAAGTTTTCATGAGCAAGCAGGAAAATTTTAAGGGAAAGAGCAAGATAAAGAATGCTGCAATGTCTGGGAAACTGTCACCAGATCTTGTTGCAGGTGATAATGACCGAATATTTCTAGAATTTGCAAAAAAATGAAATTTTTCAGCATTTGACAGTACTGGAAAATGAATTCAAGGGATAATGTCCAGAACTCAGTGACGATAAATTGGATTTAGTGTGAAATACACTGAAATTCGATTACAATACTCTGGCATTCTATTAAACTTTTTGTTTATTGAAATATGCTTCAGCTTAGTCTGTTAACCACTTCGTTACGAACATAAAAAACTACTTTTATTTAAGTTTTAAAACCCCTCAGCATTTTCTATTGCTATTAAACTTGTAAAGCTGACCATAAAAATAATCGAAGTAAAGGTATATGTGCCAGTGTTATATGCATAATATTCGAAATGCACCTGTTGGAAAGGAAGAACGACATTC